AATTTTGGGTTTCAGCCCAGAAGTGGTGGGGGTTAATGCAGGTGGAAGCTGTGTGCACAGGTTATCCAGGAAAATGTGAACAGGCTGAGGAACCTTGTGCCCAAACTGATGGGTCGAGAGGGAGAAGGCAGCTGGTCTGTGCAAGGCTGCTGTGACGAGCAATGTTTTGGGGATGTTGTTGGAGCTGAGGATGAGACCGGCAGCGCAGAGGGAATGACGTACATCCTCTCAGTGTGCTGGGACAGAGAACAGTGAGCTCTCAGGACTCTGGCTCTGACCCATCGCTCACTTTCCCCGGTCCGATGCAGCCTTCAACAGACGTTGCTGTCGCAGCAGGGAGTCACTGCGGGCGACTGTGGGTGCTGCTCACCTCCTGAACGGGTTTCGGGTGCCACCGAGCTGTGACCGCAGCCATCGGGTTCTGCTGCACACCTCCGGGCTGCACCGCCGAAACACGGGGCAGGCTGGATCCTGCAGTCTGCTCCGGTGTTTGACCTCTGCGCGGCTGCAATCAGCCCCCTTCGTACCACATCCCTTTGATTGCCACCCACCCCTGTCCTCCCCAGCACCCCTTTCCCCTGAGGGTTCCTTTACCAGTTCTGTGCAGTCCCACAGGACGCTCAGATATCCCAAATCCTCAGGCCCATCATTTCCCACTCCTTATCAGCTACAGGCTAACCCTCTCCAAAGCAGAGCTTGGAGTTTCTTAATGGCCCGTCAATTAGTGGATGAAGAGTTTTAGTCTTTGCTATTGTCTCCGTCATCTACCATGGGGTTTGTTCCTCTGCGTGTTTTGTGTCTTTCCCTGTTACTTACTCTTCCCTTTGGGCTGCGAAGGTCTTGATCTGACAACCTCAATGAAGAAGATGCTCTCACCTTCCACATACCCTCGTGGGGACTAGAAGGATTTGGGGAAGATGCAACAAAAACCACCAAAGGCCTAAAATAACTTCCGTGCAAGGAAGAGCTGGATGAACCAGGACTCTCCAGTCTGGAAGAGGGATGACCAAAGGGGTGGGGAGTGCTCTGTAAAATCTTGAGTGACTTGAAGGGGACATTCAGGTGTAATTGCTCCCTGTCTCTTTTAATACAAGAACTAAGACACATTAAATAAAATAGCAGGTGGCGAATTTAAAACCAATTACAGGAGGTGTTTTTTCACTCAACAGGATTAAGCTTTGGAACATTTTGTCACAGTGAACTGCAAACGCCAAAAGTCTGCAGGGGCTCAACCGAGCGGTAAGACAAATCCACAGGAAAAAAAAAATCCATTAAAGAATATTCAACACAAAACACTGCTCTTGGTTCGGGAAGTGCCGGAGCCTCCGATCGATGGAGGTTGGCAGAGAAATGACACCCCTGTGCTTGTCAGGAACGTATTCCTTTCCTGAACGCTGCCCGGGTCACAGCATCAGCCAGCCGGACCTTGGAGCTCTCCCCAAGTTGCACAGGGCTTCCTCTGGGGCCGTTCACCCCCCGAGGAGCAGCAGACCATTCTGCAACCACACCGCCTCCCATCCCAAACCGAGGACGCTGAGAGAAGCTGCCTGGGGCGGGGTCCAGGCCCATGGAGCATCGCTGAGTGTGTGGCAAGGCAGCAGGACATCAGGCAGGGAGAGTCCCCGGAGTTTGAAAGGTGGGAGTCCTTCGCTGTCATCTCACCCCGGGCAACCACGGTGAAACAGCCGTCTTGCCGCTGCATCCTCTCCCCTTACAGCGAGGAGTTTTGCACTGGGAGCTGCTCATCTGTGGTGATCCCCGTGCCAGAAATGCACTCAGACCCTGAGAAGTATCATTTACAATGCTATTTATTAGAGATAACACTATAAAGAGAGAGAAAGAACAGCACAGATGATAATCGCACCCGAGTTGTGCAGGGTGGAATGAGTCTCTGGTCAGGATGCAGCACGCCACGCAGACCTCATCCACGGAAGGGTTACCCCATTTTGGTCCTTCTAGCTACTATAAGAAAACCTGTTCCCATAACCAGAGCTTCAGCAAAGACACCTTGACACAGGAGGAAAAAAGGGCAAGCAAGGTGGGGGGGACTGTGGGGCCACAGAAGACAACGCTGCATTTCCTATCCGTCCCATTAGAAATCTGACATTTTCTTCCCCTCCTTGGAGGAAGAACCTTTGTAATAAGAACAAAAAAGAGCAGGATCCATGTGCGAGCTTATGACAGCCTGTGAGAGGACCAGCCGGCATGTGGATGACACTTCACGGTGCGTTTGCAGACACTTCACCCAGAGTATCTCCTCCGGCAGAGTTGGGACCAGGTGCTGGGACACTGCACACATGAACGTGGGACAATTGCTGTCCTTGGAGGGTCCAACTACCACCACGTAAAACCAGAGAGGGCATGGGCCTCTCTCATGAGCAATGGACAGATGCTGCAGAGTGGGTAAGACACAAAACAGGGGAAAGAGACGCAGGGTGCCTGCATCACCGCTCCCCCCGCCACAGCACAGCTCTGCTTGGCAGCAAAGAGGAGACACGCAACGCATTTGTGTGCAACAGTACCGCTCACACGGCTGGCACGCCACTGACCCGCTGGTGCTCAGAGCAGTTAAACACACCGGTCTCATCTGGCCGCAGCACACAAATAACGTTAAATGCTGTACAAATCCAAGAGCAGGTGGGACGAGTCATCGCTCTGCCCACCCCGGGCTCCAGCTCCCGGTCGTGAGCCTGCTGCTTGGCATCACCCAGCAGACTGCAGCCAGCCTTTCACAAGCTCCAGAGACTTATCGGGACCCAACGCTGCCTTGTGTTGCACGAGTACAACGCAGAGAAGGGGGTTTCTCCAGTGTCTGTCTGTACAGCTCCTTGCACGGGGGGACTCGATCCCCAACACTTGTGAGCTGACGGCAGATCTGACTCTGATTCCCTACTGTTTCTGTCTATTGTTTCTGTCTGTTCCCTTTATCCAGGGTCCCTGGGGGTTTCAGAGACTTCACAAGCAGCTGTCTGTGGGCAGGGTGAGATGGGCTCGGGCTTTCTCACCGCAGTCAAAACTGAGCCTCATCGGCAGCAGAATTTGGTACGTTTCTGAAGTGCAAAGGGCAGGAACGTTGCTGTGTGGTTTCGTACCTCAGACGGCACTTGTAGAGTCTGATCTTGATGCTTAGAGGTTTTGCTATGTGGTACTTAAGGGCAAAGTAAGGAAATAGCGTTTAATCCCTTCTCTCTGCTCTAATTAATATGTTAATTCATGTGGGGCTTTTTTTCCCTAGTTATAGGAGAGTTAGACAATATTAGATCTAGAAAGGGACACTGTGATGATTTGTTCTGACGTCCTGCATCACGCTTCCAGAAGAATTTCATAACCGATTTACTCATCAAGCCCATCGTATAGGCTTCAGGCAAAGCATACATCTCAGGAGAATTTCTGTTCTTAGCTTTATGGTTCCAACAGATGAAGAATTTGTCATCTGTCCTTTTTTATTTTCAGATTTGCAAACTAGCAGTGTCTCATTACATCCAATTTCTGTGTAACTTCAATTTCCAGTCACTGGGTCACGTTGTGCTTGTGGGTTATATTGAAGAGTCATCACTGTCAACCACGCACCAACTGGTGGACAATTTTTAGATCAATCGAGCTTTTCTTTTGCCAATCACGTAGTCTAAACTAAATAAGTTCTTCACTAAGAGACTTGTTTCCCCAGAGAATAAGAAAAAAACTCTCTCCTTTGATATGGACTAGATGATCATTGTAGGTCCCTTCCAACTGAAATAGCCTATTCTATCCTATCCTATCCTATCCTATCCTATTCTCTTCCATTCCATTCCATTCCAATTCCATTCCATTCTAATTCCATTCTATTCTATTCTATTCTATTCTATTCTATTCTATTCTATTCTATTCTATTCTATTCTATTCTATTCTATTCTATTCTATTCTATTCTATTCTATTCTATTCTATTCTATTCTATTCTATTCTATTCTATTCTATTCTATTCTATTCTATTCTATTCTATTCTATTCTATTCTATTCTATTCTATTCTATTCTATTCTATTCTATTCTATTCTATTCTATTCTATTCTATTCTATTCTATTCTATTCTATTCTATTCTATTCTCATTCCATTCCATTCCATTCCATTCCATAAACTCTGCAAGGTTTGATCTTATACAGTGTTCATTGTCAGTGCTCTTCCTGAAGTTTCTGGACCTCCCTTTCCCTGGAAAGATCTCTCCTTTGTAGCAGTGACTCTGTTGTTGTGCAGGGATTCGAGGGTTTCCATTCGGGAGAGATGAAGCAGCAAGCATTGCGTCCCCAGTTCCCTGTATCGCACACAAGCACTGGCTGCCTTGTCCAGGCTATTTCACAAGTCATACATGGGGGACTGCGCATGCCACAAGATTTATTTCTGCAGCTCTCTGTCCCTGAAAGCTCTTTCTCTCTGCTGATCTCTCAAGTGAAATTTGCATTAAATTTATATTTCTTTTTTTTTCAAGACATTATTCAAGTATTATCTATTGGATGAACAATTACAGGTTTTGTTATTTATTTACCATGAAAAAAATTAAAACACTCTCAGTACAGTAATCCACCTTCCCAAGACAAAATCTGCATCGCAGAGGTGCAGAAGTCTAACTCACTGCTGGATGGACATGTGTGATCTAATCATGATTTATAATTCTAAAAACTAGTAGTATTTTAAAACAAGCATTGCTGTTGGGAACTTCTAAAGTATTGAAGTAGCTGATAAATTTAAAAACTCCCTGATGCTTTTGTCTAAATTTTTCTCTCATTCATGAATATTTTATCCCATAGTCATCAATGGAAAGGGAAAAATAATCAGCAACACATTCGTTCGCCACTGCTATGAACCTAGGTAATTTATGAAATTTGTATCATCTGCATATATAAGTATGCATATGTCTGTTTACCAGTGTGTGGGCAGTATACTTATTTTTTAAGGGTTTTTTATGTCAGAGTAGATGCTGCCTTGTCCATCATGTGATTGTCAACAGCTCGAACTCCTCCCGTTACATGTTCATCCTGGCAGACATGCTGGGGTTGGAGGTTTCCCACGTCTGGCTCTCCATCCTTCACTTGCATTTACATTGCATCACTTGCGGGGAACTGCACAATCCTCTTTGCCATCGGGACCGATCCCAGCCCCCACGAGCCCATGTACCAATTCCTGTCCATGGTGGCCATCACCCATTTGGTTTCGTCTCTCTCTACAATGCCAACTGTGATGAGTGTTTTCTGGGTCAACTACAGGGAAAACAGTTTCAGAGAATGTTTTGCTCTGCTTTACTTTGTTCTTTCTCCTTCATGGAGTCCTCAATGCTTCTGGCCGTGGCCTTCTTTGATCATTATGCAACCATCTGCTACCTGCTGAGATACTCCTCCATCCTCAGCAGTGCCAGGATAGGCAGGATTGGGCTGGCTGCTCTGCGCAGATACCTCTTAGGAGGCCTGCCATCACTCTTCTTGGTGAGAAGGTTGCCCTTCTGCCAGTCCCATGTGCTCTCCCACGCCTTCTGCCTGCATCAGGACTTGATCAAGCTGGTTTGTGCAGACATCGTGTTCAACAGCATGTACAGGTTAGCTGTTGTCATCCTTATAGTGTTACTAAACACATTGCTCACTGTTTTGTCATATATTATGATTTGTAAGACAATTGTGAGCATCACATCCCAGAGGGAGCATCTCAAGGCTTTGAGCAACTGCCTGTGCCATATCCTGGCAGTCCTGATCCTGTACA